GCCTCCCAGAGTGCTAGGATTACAGGCGTGAGCCACCGCACCCGGCCGGAAAAAGTCTTTTAATAGATCCCCCTGTCTCTGGACATAAAACCCAAATCATGCCTTTTTCTTTCCCATTAATAACTCTTTTATAAGAAGGCTGAATGATATTTTTCTCCCTCCCTCAAAGAAATTGGTACCAAAAAAGTGACACATATATTTGCTGCTTGGTATTTTTTTTTACCTTGGCTAACTTTTTTGGCTTTTCATCTTTAGGTTTGGTAGGGTCCTTAAATCCTGAGTGTCAATGTCCTAAGATCCCAAAGAGGAACTGGACTTAGGTTTGGTTTTTATCACATGACTGGAGGAACTGTACTTGTATTTGATTTCTTTCACAAGAATAGTTCCACCTAAGACAATCATTGCAGAACTTGGCTTTTATAGTTAAAATAGCTGAGGGAGATGGAATGTCATGCAGGCCAAGTAGAAAGATGTTAATGAGAACCAGAGGATAGGTTGCTTATCTAGGTCTTCTCAAACTTGAGAAACTACCTATCTTGTTAAAATGCAGATTTTAGGCCGGGCGCGGTGGCTCACGCCTGGAATCCTAGCACTCTGGGAGGCCGAGGTGGGTGGATCATTTGAGCTCAGGAGTTCAAGACCAGCCTGAGCAAGAGCGAGATCCCGTCTCTACTAAAAATAAAAAGAAATTGGCCAAACAACTAAAAATAGAAAAAATTAGCCGGGCATGGTGGCACGTACCTGTAGTCCCAGCTACCTGGGAGGCTGAAGCAGAAGGATCCCTTCAGCCCAGGAGTTTGAGGTTGCTGTGAGCTAGGCTGACGCCATGGCGCTCTAGCCCAGGCAAGAGAGTGAGACTCGGTCTCACAAAAAAAAAAAAATGCAGATTTTAGTACAGTAGGTCTGAGGTGTGGCCTACCATCTGGAATTCTGTGTTTCAAACAAGCTCCCAGGAGACGTTGATGCTGCCAGTTTGCAGACACACTTTGAGAAGTAAGAACTGAGAGGTTTGATATTCCCAAACAGGTATCGGAGAACAGAAGCTGCCTCTATCGCTCCCCTTTGATGCCAGAGAATTTGAACAGGCCAAGACTAAAGCAGGTGGTAAAATTCAAGGATAACCCAATACCAGATAAAGTAAAACAGAAATATTATTCTGACCACCAAGAGCTCAGGAAGGTAAGAACTGTTTAAGATGAGTGTTTATCTTCTATCTCATGTCTTCTCTGCTTTTCTGGTATGAGGGTTGCTTTAGTATGCCTTTTTTGTCATCTTCCTCTTTATTTTTACTTTTATTTCTTTGTTCTTTCCATCTTTTTGTCTTTTCTATATCTGCATCCATATAGAAAATATTTAACAATAATATCTGTTATACTTTTAGAAGTAATGTTATCATACTGTCTTCCCAATCCTCTTTTTTTATTTTTTGTTTTTTTGAGACAAGGTCTCTGTCACCTGGGCTACAGTGCTGTGGTGTTAGCGTAGCTCACAGCAACCTCAAACTCCTGGGCTCAAGCAATCCTCCTGCTTCAGCTTCCTGAGTAGCTGGGACTATAGGCACTCACCACCATGCCCAGCTAATTTTTACTATTTTTAGTAGAGATGGGGTCTTGAGGCTGGTCTTTAACTCCTGGCCTCAAGCAATCCTCCCTCCTCAGCCTCTCAGAGTGCTAGAATTACAGGCGTGAGCCACCAGGTCCAGCTCCAATCCTCTTTTTAAAGATCTGAGAGAATATAGGGAACTTTGATTGGTATGGATATTTAGTGCTGCTTACATGCAGTCTGACAGAAACAACTTCTTATAACAGATGGGTTTGATGGAAAGTGACTTCTGAAAAACTTAGCCCTCATCCCTTTAAAAAAAATTCTAAATATCTTTGGATATTTTATGTAATCAATATATGATATTATAGAAAAATAGAAAATGCAAATAAGCAAAAAGAAGCCAATGTAAAATACCCATAATCCCGTAGGCCTGAATAATTACTGTTAACAATTCATATTCTTCCAGACATTTTTCTATGCAAATACATCTTTTTTTCTTTTGTTAAAGTAGTATTACAAAGTTCTTGTTTTTTAACCTACTTAGTGATATCATGAACTTATTTCTATGTCAGTATAATTAATCTACAATGTACTTTGTGTTGTATAATAGTAATCTATAATGTGTGAGATATGATTTGTTTAACTAAGACCCTATTATCGAACATTTACTAGTAATAATGCTCTTATAAACATGCTGGGATATCCATCCTTACAGGCAAATCTTTGTGCATATCTTTATTTCCTCAGGGGAACAAGTGGAATTATTAGATTAAAGGGTCTGTATATTGTTAATGAACCCCCACTCCCCCAACCCCCAGTTTTTAAACCTTTAACATGAGGATTGGGGATGGGTAGGAATGTCATCATTTGCAGGGTTTAGGTCTAAAGAAGACAGCCTCTCTCTGGGACATTAATATCACTCAGATGCTGGAGGAAGATTCTAAGCAGGGGGATCTGACTGGTGATTTCTCCAAGGTGAGTTTGGTTAAAACCATCCTATATTTCAGTGAGTCATTTAGGATCTGGTTCTTTTCTTCTCTGTTTGCAGAGGACACTAGGCGTAATTATGTATCCTTACCAAGTATTCTTTGATAACCTGAAAGTGCTCTAGGCCCTAAGCCTTTCCATTGAGAAAGTATTCTTCATTCATTGTGGGAAAATCCAGACAGTGAGGAAAGTATGAGACTTTTTACCTTTTTTTCCTTTTAAAAATA